CCATCAACAGAGAAGTTTCTTCCTACAGCAGACGGGAACAAATACAGAGACCTACAGTCAGATATCACACAGAGAATAAGGAACCTCAGAACACTCAGCCCTAAACAGGGCTCAGGGAATCCCAAAGTAGAGAAGACAGAAACAGTATAAAAGCCAGAGGGGAAAAAAAAATAAAAAAAAATAAATAAATAAAAAAGAAAAAAAGAAAAAGCCAGAGGGGATGAAGGACACCAAGAAAACAATGCCCTCTAAGTCAATGTGATTGCCGTACATATGAACTCACAGAGACTGAGGTAGTATGCACAAGATACTGTAGATATATGGGTGCATAGACATATGCACAAGAATGCCCACTGAAATCACTCACGATACCTAAGACTACAATCTGAATGACCTTCAAATTACAACCGACTAAACAAACAATATGTGGGACACCATCTTGGTAACAGTCATTCCTACAATGTCTGCTTTTCTCCTAGCTTCTTAGTTGGCCTGGTGATTTAGGATAAGAAGTCATCCACTGCATAAAAATGCAGCAGCTCTGAATGGCATCCAGATGATCCAAGAGTCACCATGTTCTCCAGCAACAGTCAGACTGAGAGTAAATCCCCCCCACAGCCTAAACAGGACATGAACAAATTCAAAACTGCCTGCAGCCTCTAGTTTGCAAACCTTACTCTGGCCTTGCTCTCATCCTATAGGGGTCCAGTGAGGATCCTGGACATCCACAACACCCAGCTTCCTCAAAAGCTCCTGCAAACTTTCCTCCTCAGCACTGAAGGAAAGTTAAAAGACCTCCTATTTCTCGGTGGCTTCTGTAAGGCGCCTTAAGCCAGCAAATGCCCCAAGAGACAGCAGGTGGGGATGCACTTCCTCTTTACTGCCCATGAGGACAGCATGTCTGACTTTCTGCTTCTTGTTTCTCACTAGCTGTTTCCCCCTTCACCAGGAATCCACAAATGTCTGAAGCCCTGGCTGCCCTGGCAATCTTAAGAGCTCTCACTTTTTAAATAAGGCTCTTCTAGTTACTCTCAGCAGGGGTTTTGTCTGCTACAATCTGCTCGCTGTAATCAGAAGAATTTAAAACCTACATACTTCATAAGCACTATAAGAAAAGCAAAATTTCATGATAAAAGCACGAAGCAGACCAAACTATGTTTTCAAATTATGAGATGAAGCATATCATAAGACGAATGTGTATTACACAAATAAATCTGAAGGATAAAGAACCAACAGGAGCTGACATAATAAAAAAGGCCAGGCAGCCTAGAGTTATGGCAGGTGTTAAGAAAAAGTACTGGCAAAGACAAGAAAGCTACTCACAAACTAGATAAGGACACTGTGAGTTAAGAGTGGGACACAGGATACGGGGGGGGGGGACAGCAATGGGAGGCAGTGGAAGTCGAAGGGTTAGTCCTCGACACAATGCATTTCTGCCTCTAAGGGGCATGGGCTAAGAGGCATGAAGCGCCTCTAAAAGTGATATGGATGGGAGGAGGAGAAGTCAGAGCAACCACTACTGAGTGACTGTTCCAACAGAGTCATAGGTCCTAAGAGTAACAGAGAAACAAGACGGAAGAGACAAGTCTAATAGACCCATGGGGAAACAGAAAGGAAAATACTCTCTGAAAAGGCTAAAATGGCACCACCAAGATGGCTCACTTACAACCAACCTGATGGCATCAATTTGATCCCAGAAACCTAGATGGTGGAAGGAGAGACATGACTCCCAAAAATTGTCCTCTGACTCCACACAGGCTTTGGTATATACACGCATATGCTCACACAGGCACACACACAATAAATAAATATAAAAAAGGCTTTAAATCATTTATTACAACCTTGATAGCAAAGGCAAAAAAGAAGCTTGAGTCTTATGCATACTGAAGTTCAGATGAGAAAAGACACCACAGCTGTCTACGGCAGCTGAACACTGCATTGAGACTAGAAACACTTAGGAAAGTTAAACATATGTGCATAAGAAGAATCAGCAAATATAGGGCTTGATCCTGCCCACAGCTGCAGGCATGCACTGGGGTCTTGGAACATGTCCCTGGCAGATAGAAAGAGGAAAATACTGTACAGTAAATGCATAGATGCACAAAAACAAGTCACTATGAATGCAGTCCCTCCCAACTTACCATGTACGTATGTGCCTATCTGATGGAGGAAGGTAATTGGTTAATTATAATAAACCAACTGCTTGGCCTCATAGCTTAGAACATAGGTGGGTGGAATAAACAGAATAGGATCTGGGCAGAAGAGGAAGTGAGGTCAGACTCTGCTCTGCTCCGGGACAGACCCGACAGCTCTGCTGGAGCAGAGACACCATGCTCAGCCCTCCCAGGTAGACGCAATAGCTCTGCGCTCTGAGGCAGCCGCATGAAGCTCAGACTCCAGGATGGACGGAGGCTAGAATCTTCCCGGTAAGCGCACCGTAGGGTGCTTACACACATTACTAGAAATGGGCTAGTCCAGGTGCAAGAATTAGCCTGTAAGGGCTAGAGTTCATGGGCCAAGCAGTTCTTAAATGAATAGTTTGTGTGTTGTTATTTCGGGCATGAGCTAGCCAAGCGGCCGGGGTGTTGGGGATGCAGCCCCGCCGCCGCTCCTATTTCAACACCTATCCACCAAACCTCAGAACACTGCTAATGTCCTGAGCACAGTCCTCCTGTGTCAGTCGATCTCAGTGCTGAGATGATAGGTATTAGAACCACAGTCAGCCCTCCAGAAGGAGAAATCTGGTGTTAAATTAAGCACATGCTCCACAGCATAAAAGGAGAAAGAGGAGTAAATCATAAATGTGTGCTAAAACCAAACTGATACAGCCCCCATTATTGGGGGAGATACAGCTCAGAGTCGGGGGCATTTACGTAATAGAGATGAGGCAGTGGTGCAACCCCCAGCACCACAAAGAAAATAGCTTTATTCTTATTTCTTATTTTTAACTCTTATCTACTGTTATCTGGTTTGCTCCTTGTAAGAGTATGGGCGATGTCCAAGTGTCAACAACTGCTAACTTCCTCACTCAAGACAAGAAGAATTATAGCAGGCAATACCAAGAGTGCCTAGCTGGGAAGGAGAGTGTAGAGAGAAAAGGGTAAGAACTAAGAACACTTAAAGCTCTTGCTCCTCTTGCAGAGGACCTGGGGCTTAATTCCCAGGACTCACGTGGTAGCTCAAACTCCCTATAACTCAAGTTCCAGGGTGTCTGATGTACTCTTCCTACCTCACAGGCATTTGGTATGCACAAAGGGTACGTACATGTACGTAAGTAAAACACTCATATACATTAAGTAAATCTTTTAAAAATTTGCTTAAAAGCTAGTAAAATTTAGAATCAAGTAATAGACTACTTACCAACGGATAGAACTGAACATCTCTAATCACCATTACATTCAATTTTACTGTTTATATTTTTAAAACATCCCCTGGTAAAGCTTTAATCAAATCAAAATTTCAGAGCTCACATATGAAGAACTTATGTTTGTAACTTCAGATTACATATATATATACATATACACACACATATATATACACACATACATACATTTTCTAGGAATATATCTTAAAAAAATTCTAGGACAGAACAGAAAATTACATAAAAGTTTTTCAGGGCACACAAGATGGCTTGGCAAAAATGCATGCCACCAAACTTGATGGCCTGAGTTTGACCCCCAGGGCCCACATCATAGAAGGAAAGAGCCAACTCCTCAAGCATGCTGTAATCCAACACATACACATGCATGTAAATAAACGTAATTAAAAAGTTTAAAAGATTTCACTACAAAATGAAAAACAAAAATAACCTCAATGCTAAACACTGAGAGATTGGTTAAGCTAATTATGAATACCCAGACAATTTAGGTATTAAAATTATATAGGGGACTATGCTGGCAACTTGACAACTTGACACAAGCTAAAGTCATTTGAGAACAGAACCTCAAATGAGAAAATACCTCCATAAGATTGGGCTGTGGGCAAGCCTGTAGGGCATTTTCTTAATTAGTGATCAATGGGGAATGACCCAGTGCATTGTGGGTGGTACCATTGCTGGGTTAGTATCTGTAGAGTTCTGTAGGAAAGCAGCTGAGCAAGCCACAATGAGCAAGTCAGTAAGTATCCCTCTGTGGCTGCTGCATCAGCTCCTATCTCCAGGTTCCTGCCCTGTTTGAGTTCCTGTTCTGACTTCCTTCAATGATGAACAATGATAAGGAGGTAGAAGTCAAAGTCTTTCCTCCCAAGTTGGCTTGCTCATGGTGTTCTATCATAGCTACAGTAAACCAAAATAAGACAAGGGATTTTTAAAAATTCATTTATTGAGTACACTGCACAAAGCCAATGGACTGGGCAGTAACTAGAATGATAAAAGAAGTTGCTTTAGTAAGATGAAAAGCCACATGCTAGAAAAGGAATGGTGACTTAGTAGAATTCACAAAAAGAGAAAAAGAAAATCAAAGTGCTAACACGGGGAGAGAGAGAGAGAGAGAGAAACAACAATGGAAACAGTCAACAGTCACAAGATATTAGGAGATTAAAGAGGAAATGAGCAGTAAAGCAGGGATGTGAAAAGGGAAAACACACAAATACGAGGCAGATCTTCCACAAAGAAATTTAATATGGTTTATTAGCTAAGACAAATCTATAACATATAACAGTTCTTGGGGATGGAGCTCAACAACTACAGAGATAACAGAGTCACACAGAATGAGCAACTACCAAATCAGTCTTAGAAACAAGTGCTGCAGTTAAGAGTCACAAAGGGAAGAGAACAGGACTGGGAAGGACAGGCAACACTTTCGTAAGGAAGGGTGAAGCTGGACTAACCTACTGGCCAGTTTGCCAACTCCTGAATCAGAAAACACTGACAAGTAGAGGTCAACAGACCTGCAAAAACAGATGTAAAAATAGAGACAAGCAAATAAGACTTCTATACTGAATCTAAAAACAACCCCAAAAGCAATGTTTTCTTATTAGACAATCTGCAATGGATCATCAGTAAAACCCTATGATTAAAGAGGTCACAGAATCAAATGTAGGCGCAGGAGTCAGCAGCAGCTGAAAAGAAGGGCTTGGGCCTCGGATCTTCCATCCAAGGCTAACAAAGAACCTCATGGGCACAGCAGCACATCCACCACCAAAATGGAACAACAGCCTTTGATTTCTTCTATGTGAGGCAAAACATTATTCACAATTGTGGTGGTCTGAAAGAAAATGGCCCCCACAGACTCATAAGGAGTGGCACTATCAGGGAGTATAGTCTTGTTGGAGGAAGTGTGTCACTGAGGTGGGCTTTCAAAAGTTCAAGCAAGGCCCTGTGCCTCTCTTCCTGCTGCCTACTGATCCAAACGAAGAACTCTCAGCTACCTCCCCAACACTTGAGTGCAGCCATGCTCCCCATCATGATAATAATGGACTAAACCTTTGAATATGAGCCAGCTCCAATTAAATGCTTTCTTTTGTAAGAGTTGCCATGGTAACGGGGTCTCTTCACAGCAACAGGACACTAACTAAGACAACTATATCAGTAAAATGATTCCAAAGTTAGAGTTCAGAATCTGGAACCAAAGAGACCTGCATTCAACTGTACCCTATCCTGGATTCCATCTGCACTATATTCTTCCTTGCTAGCTTGATTCTTTAATCATAAAATGGGAGTATCTCCTATTTGAATAGTCTATGTCAACTTATCTTCCAGTATTTTCATCCAACTACTTTACCAAATGCTTTTAATGAGCCCAAAGACCTCTAGGTAAGCCAAGGAAGGTTACACAGTACAGATGCAAAGGGTTCAGAGGATGGGCATAATCCACTGTGCAGAAAGAACCTACACTTATGTCTAAGAACTAAGGATCTCTAATGGAGCTTACTGGAAACACAGATCTGGGACAGCAGCACCATCCACTCCCCCTAGAAAGAATGGAATGAAAAACCAGCAAACACTGTCCTTCGTTAGCGTCTCCTTACCATTCCTAAAGCTTCTTAGAATGCATTCTTCTAAAGCAGAAGGGAGCATGCTTACGTGAGAAAGAACACTGTTCCCTCGGCATCCTTCCTTTTCAGTACACTCTGCTCTCACGTCCACCCTTGCTAGGAACCTAGTCCAGTGCCTTACACATATTAAGAATACTCCATTAAATACAGCATAAAGCCTTAGCATATAGGCAAAGTAAATTCCATAAATGCTAATTCTTCTACCTCCAAAACTTTTCTGGCTGCATCAAACAATGCCTAAATCCGAAAAATCCTTCATATCCTATATTAACAAGCCTACTTATTTCTGTCAGAAACATCTGCATTGGGAGAGAATCACAAGAAGAGACACAGAGTTCCTAAATTTCACACACTACAGGATAAATTTAAGTAAAATCGTGATGTGGTAGAAATATCCCAGATTCTAAAATTCAAGAGATTTAGGTGATTGAACATAAAACTGAATATACACACAAGTCACACACAATATTCATACATGTTCTAGTTTCCTTTCTGTTGTCGACCAAAGCACCTTAGGGAGGAAAGTGGTTATTTAGCTTACACTTCCAGATCACAGTCTATCACTGACGGAAGTCAGGGCAGGAACTTGGAAGAGAAGTCATGGAGGAACTTGGCTTGGTAGCTTGCTCTCTGGCTCACTCCCAGGCTCATAGTTGTCTAGCTTTCTTGTATAGACCAGAAGCACGAGCGTAAGGCTGGTACCATCCCCAATGAGCTGGGCCCCCCTACATCAGTTAATTACCAAACAACCCTCCACAAAAATGCCCACAGACAATCTGATCTAGGCAATTTCTCAATCAACGCTTTCCTCTCAGATAATTCTAGTCTGTGCCAACTTGACTGTTAGTGCTAACTGGAACAGCAAATAAAAAGTCTGGCAAAATATACCCTCATTAACAGTGGCTGCTACTGAAATGCAAAAACAATAGCATATAATGTCATCACTTTATTGTGTTTTTTGTTTTTGTTTTTTTTTTTTTTTTTTACTTTTTGGGTTTTTTTCTTTCTGTCTGCATATATGTCTGCGTGAGGGTGTTGAATCCTCTGGAACTGAAGTTACAGATAGCTGTGAGCTGCCATGTGGGTGCTGGGACTTGAACCCAGGGCCTTTAGATGAGCAGCCAGTGCTCTTAACTACTGAGCCATCTCTCCAGCCCTCACTGTGCTTTTTCGGTGTTCAATTTTCCTATACTGAATGCAAATGCCTACTAAGTTTCTCATCCTTAGGTTCTGCTCTCCTTAAATCCATCCTGTACGCTTACTGTCAGGACAAGTTTCTCAACCGTCTTCAAGAAGCTTGTGGTTTACTCTTTTTTTTTTTTCTTTGTATCCCTAGCAACTAGCACTGTGCTTGGCACAATAATTAATGACTACATTAACAAATAAAGTATAAAAGCTTACATGAGGTATTTCTTTCTCTAATCACCTAATGTGCCATCTTGCCTAAACCATACCACTTTCCAATCCAACCATTATTCAGATTCAGAAACGAAGAATTTTAGGTGCAGAGTTTGCTCAAAGTCTCACAGCGACTACAGGGCCTCAAGCTAGAATTTACATTCAGATCCACTACTTTTCAATACTATCTTTCTTCCAGAATACTTTTCAGTACGCAAATAAATAATAGTTACACTTCAGTAAGGAGTAGAAGATATTACTAATCATGTATGCATCTTACAATCCTTCTAAACTCAGAAAAAGTATAAATACATAATACTGCTGTTCCAGACCCAGCTACCGCCCAAATCTATGTCTGGGCCCAGGGTCTTACCACAGCTGGAGTCTGTGCTGAAGACGTAGAGTCTCATACTGCCACCAAAGGTTTTAAGAAGCCTAGGGTTGCCGGGTGGTGGTGGCGCACGCTTTTAATCCCAACGCTCGGGAGGCAGAGGCTGGCAGATCTCTGGGAGTTCAGGCCAGCCTGGTCTACAAGAGCTAGTTCTGGGACAGGCACCAAAGCTACAGAGAAACCCTGTCTTGAAAAACAAAAACAAAAACAAAAAAGAAGAAGAAGCCTAGGGTTGTTCAGGGGCCATCCCGATCTGAGTGGCCAGTGCTTCCACCAGGAGCCAGGATGTCGCTTGGGCACAAGTTGCTGCTGAGGGCCATGTCTGGGTCCATAGTTTAGCAGCAGCTGGGGTCTATGTTGATGTCTGTGGCCCGTGTCACCTCAGGGGACCATAGGAACCATGTGTGATGAAATCAGAAGGCCATGTGGAGTTGGTCCCACCCTTTGCTGGTCCAGCTTCTCTCTGGACACTGCAGCAAGAGAGCTGGCCTTATTCCCCATACCATGCTAAATGCATTTGTACAACAGAAACAAATAATTCACTATGCAAATATCTATTCTATTCCTTTTTCCCTTTTATTAAAAATAGATATTTTCTCACATGATATATCCTGATTACAGTTTCCCCTCCCTTTATTTGTATGAGTTCCTCCCCACCCTTTCTCCCCTCCAGATTAATTTCCTCTGTCACTCATTAGAAAACAAACGGGTTTCTAAGGATAATAAGAAAATAAAATATAATAAGATAAAATAAGACAAAACAAGCAAACAGAAGGAAAAGAGACCAAGAAAAGGCACAAGAAACAGATACAGACACAGAGACCCACTCATTCACACCAGGAATCCTGTAAAAACACTAAACTGGAGATACTATATTCCTTTAAAAAGCTGGTTTCACTGTTTAAGATCACTGCTAACCATTTACATTGGACATCTTATCTGATCCTTGCAGTACTCCCAGGGCTTGTTGGCATTACTCCAGCCACTTACTCACAAGGAAGCAAATGCTCAGAAATGCTAACACCTCTACCAATGCTAAAAAAGTAATAAAGGAAGAGAGCAGAACCAAAGCAGGCGGCTGGCCTACAGAACTGAGTACAGAAGAGCTACAGCATCCGGACCAGTCAGAACGGGTACCTAGTAAATGGACATTGACTCAGTGCTTACATGTTGAGCACTCTGCTAAATGCTGTTATACATAATTCTTAAACCTTCAAGTAACCAGGTACAGCTTATGATGTTTGCTTTTTATGGGTCAGAAAACTAGAACACAAAGGAACTAAGACAGGAAATAAACATTTATATGCATTACTCACAGATGAACTAAGAGATGTTATCCTGAGGGAAAAAAGGAAATAGCTACTCATATATTTAGATGCCAATAAACCTGGGATTATCTTCCGTATCTAGAACTAAAATGAACAAAACCTGAACTAAGACTAGCTCAGTCAGTGAAGAGCTTGCCATGAAGGCATGAGGGCCTGTGTTTGGTCCCCAGAACCCATGCTAAAAGACAGCATGCACTTGTAATACCAGCACCAGGAGGTGGAGACAGGCGGATTCCTGGAGTGTTCTGGTTAGCCAACCTAGCCTAATCAATGACTCCAAGACAAGAGACCTCAGCTGGACTGCATCTAAGGAATGACACCTGAAGCTGTCCTCCCGCCTCCATACAGACACAGAGGGGGGAGGGGACATTAGGTTTAAGTAGGAATTATGTGTTTAGATAGAACAGTGTCCAGCATTAAGTTTTAGTCAGGGTCAATTTACTAGGTAGGCCTGGCCCTGACCTCCTTTAACCATTAACTGCTTTCTACCAACATGAGGTAAATTATCTCCGGCTACTGGGAAACCAGCAGCAATTCATAAACAAACGGTCACTCCTGCAAATACTGCAAGAGAGAAACGTGATCTCTATCACCTTAGCTCTCAAGCTCTACCAAAGTCCCAAGCATGGGGACTTTCCAAAGTCACGTCTGCAGAGAGAGACCCTCCTCCCTTTATGTGCCCATTTCCTTTCTTTCACTATCTAGCGGCCATAAAGAGTAGTCTACACTGCTGACTTTTCCCTGCATCTCTCAGTCCCTCAAATAAGCTCATCTTCACGCACCTTTTAACTTTTCACTACACACTTTTTCAAGATTTATTCATGATGATATATAAGAACTCTGTTCATTCACTGTACTAACAGTTACAGAACGACCCACAATTCATTGCTACTTTTCTCAAGGAAACTGTTCTTTTTCCAGTTCTGCAGTCTGAGATGACTGTGAGCATGCACACCTGTGCGCTCCCCGAGACCACCACTACTAGAAAGGCTGAATCAAGACGTAGTAGATACCTATACCAGGTAAGGCCAACACCTCAATGGCTCTGGCTTGGGCTTGTTAGGCCTCTTCTCACTGGGATCCATTCTTTTCTATCACGTACTTCCTCTGAATTTAACCTGTTATTTTTCTAATTATGTTGACCACTTGGTTTGTCATAGAAACTGGGTTCAATCCCCAGCACTGGGGTGGGGTGGGTTCTGAGGTTTCACCACAATGTGTTTAGTTAGGAGGGCTCTGTGTTTTCTAATTCTTGCTGGGCTTCATGAGTCTTAAAAGATTCAGGGTTTTTTATTAATTCTGAAACATCTTAAGTCACCACATCTTCAGGTTCTACACCCCCTCATTCTAACTGCTTTTCTCTTGGGAATACTACATCTGGAGCTTCCTGATCAATCTCCTCCGTTCTTTTCCCTACGTTTCTGTTGGCCCCACTGAGCACTCACCCTCACTGACTGTTTCCACTGCAGGTAGTTCTTACAAATTATTTCATGTCTTGTTTACTGAGCTGTTGAATTCTGGAGATCTTTACATAGAAGGTATTTAATTCCACAATAGCTTTAGTCCTAACTACACTTGCTTACTGGGGTATCAGTTCTGGAACAGCTTTAGTCCTAACTACGCTCATTTTAATTATCTTTTGAACTAACACTATCAGTTTCAGGAGCTCCAGTCCTGTTTTGTCTGTGGACTCTCCTTTTGTTGGGAACCCTACAGGCTCATACTGCCATTTCTACGGTGAGTTTACTGCAGCTGGCTTCTGTCTTCTGGAAGAATCCTGGGCTCTCAGAGGTAGGAGAGTGTCCCTGATAATCTTGTTTTAGTTTCTCCATGTGACTAAAATAGTTCACTATCTTGGAGACATTTCTTCTATATTTCTTAGCATAAAGTTATTTGAACAAAACCCTCTAAGATCTTGGGTATGAAAAAGCTATAAGTCCTTTGCTCTGGCTTCTTAGGAAAACCCCAGGGCTATGCAGAAGTCTTAGTTTCTTGTGCATGGCTAAACTCACCCCCACCCCTGCCCCAGGAAGAGGAAAAGAGAACCTCCTTACTCAGAAAGGCTTCAGCAGATCCCTTGAGCCTGCTGGGGGGTAACAACTTGACAGTTTTGATGGCTCCATGTCGGCTGACTGGAGACATCCCAGCAAGCTCAGGAGTGTATGAGCAGTCACGGTTCCATATTCACCAGTTTGTCTGGTTATGTGCCGTCTACCTTAGCCATCTTCCAAAGACAATTGGGGTTTCCAACTTAGGTGTTACTTTACCTCATCAGAGTCTCTAAGATGGAATTCGCCAGTGCACCCTCACTCTTGGGCAAGGCGTCCAAAATCCACTATCACCCATCAAATCCTGTTCCCCCACCTTTCCACTCTCTCCTAGATACTATGTGTACTAACTCCTAGGCCAGACTGGATTATTGTGACCAATAAAAACAAATAATAAATAAGTGTCTTAAAAAATAATAGGAACCGGGCTAGAGAGATGGCTCAGAGGTTAAGAGCACTGGCTGCTCTTCCAGAGGTCCTGAGTTCAATTCCCAGCAACCACACGGTGGCTCACAACCATCTGTAATGAGATCTGGTGCCTTCTTCTGGTGTGCAAACAGAACACTGTGTATGTAATAAATAAATAAATCTTTTTTTTTTTTTTTTTTTTGGTTTTTTNCTGTGGTTTTGGAGACTGTCCTGGAACTAGCTCTTGTAGACCAGGCTGGTCTGGAACTCACAGAGATCCGCCTGCCTCTTTAAATAAATAAATCTTAAAAAAATAATAGGAACCAAATATTCTGTAAATTAATCAAATAAAGTGTGATGAAAACCGTTATCATATGCTCACATACAAATGAACTCAAGGTGAGTAACTCTCCTAAATTAACTAGAAGTCAGGGAACAGGATAAGAGAGGAAGCAAGTACCACCTGAATCCCTGCTGCTCATCTGAGTCCACAGAGCTGAGCAGTTCTTTCCATGGTAATTCATTTCACTGGTGAAAGAGGTGGTGAGGTAATCTCCAGCTGAGTTTATAAAACACATAAGCAAGGGGAAGGCACATGGATCCTGCTTAGTGCACAAAAGGACATGCTCAGGTCTGTCAGTAAGGAGGAAGGGCGAGTCACTTTATATATGCTGAAACAATCACAGCTTCATTATTCACTAGTCCGAAAAGCAATTTAGGCAACACAGAACGCAGATGTTGTCTGACAAACAGACCAGAACTCTTTGCTTTTCAAGGAAAGCAAATGTTTAAAATATTTGTTAATCATAAGTGAACAGGGAGTATGAACAGGGATGTTTATGCAGGGAGACTGTGGGATTTAAAAAAAAAAGGATAAAAGAGGTACTATTCACTTTTTTATCTACTAATTTTTTTGAAATTCAACTTTAAGACAAAAATAGAAAAAAAAACCCATCAACTTAAAATGGTTGTCAGCCTTTGTCTAGATCATCACTTCAATCATTACCTATAGCAGAAGAAAAAAGAATTGTCCTAAAACCCAAAAAGTTACTGTTTCAAGATCAAAGACAGTATAATTTAGAAGTATCTTTGGCTTTAATTCTCAAAATTCTTTAATCATTTTCAATAAGGCTTAAATATAATTACTATGTACAGTTCTAAATCTATGCACACCTATGTAGTAAATGTTTTTAAATCAACACATTAGAATGCCTTTAAATTTAGAATATAAGTTCCATGAGAATGAGATTTGTATTTTGTTCACTATTGTGAACAATGCTTAGCAAAATGTAGGTATTCATTATAACCCCTTTCATGCTGCTCAAAACAGTACAAATACTTAGTTTGTCCACACAGACAAGGACCTGCACAGCCTAAAAGTTGTGAAGTTCCACTTGGAGTCAGCCTTGATCTGATCACTGCTGCAGCCATCACACACAGGGTTCCACAGATCAACACAAACAACTAGTAAATCAGGTGTAGCGGTGCACAACTATAGTCCAGCACTCAGGGAGATTCTCCCAGACTGAGGGAGAAGGGTTTTGGTAAGTTTGAGACCAGACCAGAATACAAAGTGAGACCCTGTCTAAATTAAATAAATAAAATGCCAAGCCACAAAAATATCAAAAACACGACCAAAATTTTCAACAAGCACAGGCTACACTTTTTTTCATAGACAATCCAATTCTAAAAGAGACACTGTACTTTGAAATGATTTTTTCTTTCTTCCCTGGGGAGCTGAGGGCTAAATCCAGGACCTTGTGCTTGCTAGGCAAGTGCTCTACCACCGAGCTAAATCCCCAACTCCTTGAAATCTTTTCTGAAAAGCAAGTTGTGCACAGCGGTATGTGCTTGGATCCCACCACTTGGGAAACTAAGGCTAGAAGGTCTCAAGTTCACCGCCCGACAGGCTACATAGCAAGGTCCTGTCTCAAAATACAAAAATATAATAAGCAGCTACTGTATCATGTGCAGGAGAATGAAGTGGGAGGACACCACTTGACAGCAGGAGCTCAAAAACAGCCTATGCAACAGAGCACACCCTGGCCTCTTTCATCCCCAGTCTCACAAAGCAGGCCTAACCCTTCCTTTATTAGCTGGTTTAACTGTGCCTTAAGAATCCACCAGGAGATACACTTCCTAAGGCTCCTGTAAATGACCTCCTGCTGCTCTAGTTACTACTCAGAAACCACAATGCAAGTATCTCAGCCTCCTCCATTAAAAGCCATCATGAGACAGGCTTACACGACAAGCTCAGCACCCAGGAGACTGAAGCAGAATAGTCACTAATTCCAGGCCTCCCTGGTCTACAGAGAGCTCCATTCAGGCTGGCTGGCCTATAACATGAGATCTTAGCTTTTGTTTATCTGCTACCTCACTGCACCTTGTAACTGGTAGTTCTCTTATCCCCTCCACTCCAGTCTTCTCTCTGAGCAATGAGGACCCAGAATGAAACAGATCTTAACCTCATTCTTTCTTATTCTTTAGCGACCCTTTTTTAAAAAAAAAAAAATTATTTATTTATTATGTATACAATATTCTGTCTGTGTGTATGCCTGCAGGGCAGAAGAGNTTTATTTATTATGTATACAATATTCTGTCTGTGTGTATGCCTGCAGGGCAGAAGAGGGCACCAGCCCTCATTATAGATGGTTGTGAGCCACCATGTGGTTGCTGGGAATTGAACTCAGTACCTTTGGAAGAGCAGGCAATGCTCTTACCCTCTGAGCCATCTCTCCAGCCCTTTAGCGACCCTTTGAAAATCTGTTGAAGCTGTGGGTGACCTCTCCATAAAAATACACACACTTACGAGACAACTTTTATAAGTTATTTATGGCTCATGCTTTAGAGCTCCAGCTACTCAAGTTCAGTTCCCAGCACCCACCCGTCAGTTCCTAACCATCTATGACACCAATTCCAGAGACTCTGACACCCTCCTCTGGCCACCTTGGGCACCAAGCACACACACACATACAAGTTTGGAAAAAAAAAAAAAAAAACTTTATAATAGAAAAAGATTCCACTTAAACATGCACCAATAGATGGCTAAATGTTATGCCCATTTAATAAAATTCCATACAAGTATAAGAACATTAAAGACATTTTCTGTTCTACTATGAATGTATATTAAACAAGCAAACACAACTTATAGGGCTAGGGAGATGGCTCTGTGGCTATGAGTGATCTGCAATGAGGACCTAAGTTTCAAATCCCTATATTAAAGGCCAGGAGCAGCTACAGGCGTCTGTCATCTCAGCACTGAGGGGCAGACTGGAGGATTCTGAGATTCTGCTGACCAGTCAATCTAGCAAAATGAGGAGCTTCCAGGTCCCTCAGAGACCTCATCTCAGAGCAATCAGGCATAGAGGAAGGTGTCCTCACTTCAAAGCCAAAGGCAGAAAACAGTGGTTCTCAACCTGTGGGTCGCAACCTCCTTGGGGGTCGAATAACCTTTTCGCAGGGATTGCCAAAGCCCATCAGAAAACACATATTTACATTACGATTCACAACAGTAGCAAAATTATAATTATGAAGTAAAACAAAAATAATTTTATAGGTGGGTGTCACTACAAGGTGAGGGTCACACTATGAAGGCTGAGAGCCACTGGCATAAAAGAAGATATCTGACATCTTGCTCTGTCTTGTTTGTCTATGTAACACACACACTACATAAAGAACAATGTGCATTACACACAACCATTTGTATAAAAATAGGAAAATATAAATTTTAATTTTGGTAAGGATTTGGTAAGATGCATAATTGCAAAAGAGTCAACAGAACACTGGAGACAGTGGAAATGAGAAGAAAGCAGTATCACCAAGTAACTTTTTCTATTTGCATCTGACTCAAGAATGGTGAAAAGGGTTTTGGGTTTTGAGTTTTGTTTTGTTGAGACAGAGTCCCATGTAGCCCAGGCTGGCCCGAAACTTATCATGTAGTCAAGGAAGATCTTGACCTTTTTTTTTCTTTTTTTTTTTTAAAGGTTTATTTATTATGTATACAATATTCTGCCTCCATGCTATGCCCACATACCAGAAGAGGGCACCAGATCTCATTACAAGTGGTTGTGAGCCACCACGTGGTTGCTGGGAATCGAACTCACGACCTCTGGAAGAGCAGCCAGTGCTCTTAACCCCTGAGCCATCTCTCCAGCCCAAGATCTTGAACTTTTTAAGATTCTCTTTTTTTTTTAATATTTATTTATTTATTTATTATGTATACAATATTATGTCTGTGTGTATGTCTGCAGGCCAGAAGAGGGCACCAGACCTCATTCCAGATGGTTGTGAGCCACCATGTGGTTGCAGGGAATAGAACTCAAGACCTATGGAAGAGCAGCCAGTGCTCTTAACCCCTGAGCCATCTCTCCAGCCCAAGATCTTGAACTTTTTAAGATTCTCTTTTTTTTTTAATATTTATTTATTTATTTATTATGTATACAATATTATGTCTGTGTGTATGTCTGCAGGCCAGAAGAGGGCACCAGACCTCATTCCAGATGGTTGTGAGCCACCATGTGGTTGCCGGGAATTGAACTCAGGACCTTTGGAAGAGCAGGCAATGCTCTTAACCACTTGAGCCATTTCTCCAGCCCTAAGATTCTGTCTTAAATAGTGAAATTACAGGCTTGTCCCATCACCCTCAGCACAATTTATTATATTTTTATGTATGTATTTTGGGAAGTGTGTCCATGTGCCACAACACACACGTGGAGGCCAGGGGACAACTTTCCGGAGTCAGTTCTCTCCCTTCCCTTACGTGAGTCCTAGAATTGAATTCAGGCTTGACATCTTGCTGCCCCCCATTAAGGTTTTAATTTAAAAATACTGTGTATAACTTCAGTGAATACCCACTAAGGCTAAACATAATTGCCAAGCCCTATTCAGCAATTCTTTTTTTTTTTTAAGTTTTGTTTTTTTGAACAGCTTCTCACATAGCAAAGAAAAACCTTGAACTCCTGACCCGGAGTGCACTTCCCAAATACTGAGGCCCCAAGTTTGCATCACCATGACGAGTTCAGTAGCGTTTTTCTATTCTTCTAAAATTATTTTGCTGAATAAACATATGACTGCAAATACACAATGATCCAAAAAGAAACTTAGGAAAAATACTTTTCATTATGACCCGCATAATGAACTGGAAGACACACAACTCAATAAATCCTATGGACTCTTATTTTAAGTAAATGTCCTTACTCACTAGTAGCCTATCCTTTATGAAAACAAACTTCTTTAAGAAGAAAAACTTTACACGAACCAAAAAGCAATAGCCTCTTTCATAGTTCAAATTTCAAAGCAGGTACTTCACAACTGCTCCTAGAGATATAGAAATAAACTGCTATCTTAATTGACTATACAATCAATGTAGTAGTAGAGAGACCAGAGAAATTACCTTATATATTTATAGTCTCAGAAATTAAAGAAAACTAAATTGAGCAAGAGTCAGATGGAATTGGATTTTTATCATCAGGCAAGTTATTTAATCTCTCTAGACCTCAGTCTCATCTATAAAACAGAAATAAACATACAACTTTGCAAGAGCACTGTGATGTTAAAAAAGAAATAGCAAAAAACACAGAAAGTAAAATGAAGACCACCTCAGCTCTTGGAGAAGCAAGGTACGTATCTTTGGCAGGTGTCCCGGCTTGAACCATAACAGATGCATTCTGGACCCTGTAGTTTCTAGGAACTACACTTTCATGCACACAATGCAATGCCTGCCTTCCCCTACAGAAAACAACGTAAGCCAGTATTCCTAATATAAAAGGGCTATGAAATGGAACCTCCTGACTTTACATTTCTTAAAAACCTATGTTGCCTGGGCGTGCCCCCAAAGAAGCCTGTCTTGGCTCGTGTTACAGAAGGGATTTTCTTCCTCAGACTTCAGCACCAACAAGTGATGAGCTGCCGCTGCTGAGAAAGGAGTCCTGCAAGAGAACTTTAAATTGCCAGCATCACAGCCGGAAACCTACCCAGAAAGACCGAAAACCGCCCCAGTCAACCAATCCTAGCCTCCAAAACTTAAATCCCACCCGGCTTTTTCACCGAGCGCTACTGGCTTTTTTGATCAATATTATCGCAAATATAAATAGATGGCATTTATCTCACCCTCACTATGTGCCAGGCTCTGCGATAAGCATGTATTTTTCAAGATTGCATGAGCCGCGAGCTCAACCACCACCAACCCACTCAGCTCTCAAGTCAGCAAAGCCACACTTCACAACATCAGATTCGATCTGCCCCCCCCCCCCCCCCCCCCCCCCCCCCCCCCCCCCCCCCCCCCCCCAAACCAAAAAAACCCAACACCCACCACACATCCACTCGAGCCCAGGAAAACTCATCCTTCTCAGAACACGACCCCAAGCCCCTCCGCCTAACGCTGACAACAAGCGCTCCTGGGATCCTCCGGAGCCCCTCCTCCTCCACGCACCAACTCCAACATGCCCCTAACTTGTTCCAAGAACTGTTTCCTTCCAAACTTGTGACTTACGCAAGGCGCGGGGTCCCCGCACTGCCCCTCCAAAGGCAACAAGCCCGCAGTTCGCTCCAAAGTTCAACCTTCACCAACCACAGACGGTGCCGGGACACAACCCAATCGCGACCCCAGGAGAGAACTATCCACACCCGCTCCAGGAGGGCCCGGGATCCTCCACCCCGCTCACCAGGCCAGACCCGGGGTGGCTGGGCCTGGCCGGGACCCCAAGGGGAGGAGGAGAGGGGAGGCTTCACCTGGCTCCGCGCGCGGCTCAGGGTCCGGCCTGGGCCCCGCGCCGGCCGCGCCCCCGTCCCGGCGCGAGCGGCAGCGCTCCGGTTGTCCGCGACGGGCGCGCTCGTTCAGCAGCTCCGCGGCGGCCTGGCCGTCGTCGCGGGCCCGACGGCGGGCCCAGCCCGAACCCCGGGGACGGCAGCGACGGCAGCCCGGGCCCGCCGCGCGGGAGGCGCAGCCTCGGCACCGCGAGTGGCCGCACGACAGGGCCGCCGCTTCCCCCGGGGTCTCCAGGCACCCGGCGCAGCCCGACTCCTCCGGCCGTGGCGGCGGCGGTAACACTAACAACGCGGGGCTAGAGGCCGGGCCCGGAAGCCCGGTCTTCGCGGCCGCCATCTCGTCACAGCGGCCCCGCCGGCCCCGCCGACTCAGAGCCGCCGCGGCCGCCGCGGAAGAAGCCCGAGTGCTCGGACCTGCCGCCGCCATCTTGTTTCCCGTTTGAAGGGAGAGTCCGTTGCGCTGGGGGAAGAGTAGAGGGCGGGGCGAGGCTGGCGTGGATCTGCATATTCATGAGGGGGCGTGGACCTAGTGGCTTGGGGACGTTTCTCCCTGAACCTCCAGCTCCACTGAAGAATGCTCATTAATATTTAATGTTATTCTTGATATATCCGGTCGTCAGCCCGCCCTCCAGTCTTTGCAGTTTCTAGCACTGAATCCAGAGAGGCTGCGCGCTGGAAGGATTTATTTGGAAATTCTGAGCGACGTGGAGCTTTATAAAGTAATTACATCTGTGTGAGCTATTCAGAAACCTGTCGAAGTGCTTCCTTGGGTCAGGGCCTGTGCTTTTTTCTTCAGGATCACGACAGCTTGTCGTGATTGAAAATGAGGCCTACCATGACCAAAAGTCTTTAATGAGTGTTGAAATAACAACAACCCTGGCCAGCTCTCATCCTCTCCACACCCTTCATGAAATCCCCTCCCTTGACCGGGGGCAATAGGGTACTTTATTTCACACATATACACACACCCTAGCTCCGTCTCTGATTCCTTCCTTGTTCGATACTTAAATGTAGAGACTCTTCTAAGTGTGGTTCCGGTCCCCTCCATTTCTCACTCTGTGTGCTTCCCTGGTCCCCCCATAAGAAGGAGAAATGAGAAGGAGGATGAGCCTTCTCAAACCCCGCATTGCTATCTGCAGCTCAGAGTTACTGAATGCACTATTATACGCTTGGATGTCTGCATCCCTCATGCACAAACTAACGCCACAGTCCCTTCAGAACAGCCCCCTCTTACTTCCCACAGTCTATTCCCAGAACCGCGGCCATAGGTCCTCAAGCTCCCTGCCCCGGCATTATCACCGTCTTCCACAGTCCAGCCATTTTCTGGCCAAAGCAGCTCCTTTCCAACCTGTTCTTGGCAACTTTATTTCCTGGTCTCACTCTTTGGTTTATTTCTCATCATCTCTTACCTAGCTGGCAGCAGTGACTTCGGCAAACTGACCTCCTACCACGCTGCCCCACTTCCTTTAAGCCTTGTTCCGTGGCTCCTAGGGTTACTATTCCTGTTTAAGCCAGGGAGAGGTGTTCAGACTGCCCTGGAACTCGTTTTATAGACTGCCTGCCCTTCAACTCACAGAGATCCTCCTGCCTCTACCTCTGCCTCCCCGTCCTGGGTGCTGGGATCAAAGGTGTGCTCCATCCCTGCCAGGTGAGGTGCTCAGACTTTGTTGTGACGTCCCTTTCAGGATCCCGAGGCTTTTGGGAAAAGAATGGCGCCCCCTGATGGAAAGATGGCCCCACTACAACAGGTCTCCTGCTGTTGTTTTTCTGCCCTAAGGTACATTTGAACCAAGATGTTATCTTTATAGACGAGCAGAGGCTTTGTCAAGACATTAATTTTTTTTCAGTTAATGCTTTGTGTCAAGCTGACACATGTAAAAGGAGCCATCCAGAGGCCCGGGGTTCCGTGAGATTATGCAGAGTTGCTGATAACCAATTCAAAGCAGTGTGACTGGTCAAAGTCAGAAGCGAGGGGGGGGGGGGATAAAAGCCACGGATTCCCAAGATGAGAAAGAACCATGTGGCTAAAGGACCGTCAGCAACTGGATGGTCCGTGTCCAGACAGACAGCCTGTCCTGACAGACACAGACATTTGGTCTTGGCTGTGCTCTTCATTCCTCACTTCCGACCTGCTTGGGGTTCTTGGGGCATCTTGCCTGGTTCCCGACAGGGAGGCTTGTACAGAAAGTGTGCTGGTTTGTTTTGTGTTTTATGTCAACCTGACCCAAGCTAGAATCATCTGAGAAGAGGGAGCCTCAATTGAAAAAAAAAAAAAAAAAAGCCTCCATAAGATTGGGCTGTAGGCAAGCCTGTGGAGCAGTGATTGGTGCAGGAGGGCCCCAGCCATTGTGGGCAGTCCGACCCTGACCTGGTGGTCCTGGGTTCTATAAGTGAGCAGATAGAGCAAGCCAGGAGATGCAAGCCAGTAAGCAGCACCCCTCCATGGCCTCTGCATCAGCTCCTGCCTCTGGATTCCTGCCCGGTGTGAGTTCCTACCTTGGTTTCCTCAATGGACCGTGATTCGGGGTACATAAGCCAAACAGACCTTTTCCTCCCCCAGGTTGCTTCGGGTCATCACAGCAATTGTAACCCTAAGTCAGAAAGCAAGCACCATTAGAAACAGTTCCTTACTGTGAGCTGTGAGCTCAGTGGGACTTCAGTCTGAGAGGCCTGGAAGAGTGTAGCGGGCTTTCTTGGACACAGAGAGAAACAGGACATTTCCCTTTCCCCAAGGAGAAGTAAGAGACCTGAGTATCACTGAACCAGATGCCAGATCTGATCTTGGTCCCAGTCTTTTGCACTGACTCAGTTCCTCCTTTCTGACCTCAGTTTCCTCGGTGTTAAAATACTGGAACCCAGAGCCGGGCAGTGGTGGCGCACGCCTTTAATCCCAGCACTCGGGAGGTAGAGGCAGGCGGATCTCTGGGAGTTCGAGGCCAGCCTGGTCTACAAGAGCTAGTTCTGGGACAGGCACAAAAGCTACAGCGAAACCCTGTCTTGAAAAACCAAATAAATAAATAAAATAAAAATACTGGAACCCAGCAGTTCTCAACCTGGTGTGTGTCACTTAAGTATGGGCACATGACAGCCCAGGGGCCACCTCCAGCCAACCGAAGCCAAAAGCTGAGGCCGATCTGTGAGGTTCCTTCTTAACGCTCTAAGAATGATAACCCAAACACGTAGCCAAGTCTGTTACAATGGATGTGTTCAGAAGTCTCTTCCATCTCTCGCATTCAGAAGAGCAGTTCCCAGTTTCCAGTCCCCTATGCTGTTGCCAAAGTAATCTCGCTAACACAGTCATGGTGACGGAGGGCCGGGCGGATGGGTGGATGAGCACAGGATGGAGAAGAAGATGGTTCTAAAGTCTCGGATGTAAACCAGAGATGGTGGTCACGACTGAGAAGCCAGCAAAAACAGCAACTTTTCTGGATTTTGCCTTTAAACAGTGCTCTCTAGAAGGGTGGGGTACCTCCTGTCACTGCTGGCTTGAACACGTGTCCACAGTAAACCTTGCTTTTGTGTTTCAGTAAGCCGGTCTCCCTGGTGGTCTTTTGGGGTCCCCACGGACTGCTCACAACACTGGACTGATACACTGTGACACCAATAAGATCATTCAGCCTGCTTCCTGGTGGAAAGAAGGCCCTGTCTCTGAAAAGCCAGGAGCCCCTTCACAGCAGCCCAGGACTTCCCTGTGCCCTGCTCTTCCGTACCTTTGGCTTCAGAAGTTCTCACAAAGCGAATCCCTTTACCCAGTGCTTTGAAGTCATCTGACCCCTCCAGACACTGTATGAACCCACATGACACTTGATCTCTGCCTCTCTGATAGACAAACGTATGCACTAATGATTGTAAGAAAAGAATCGAGGCAAAGCGAGAAGCAGTGTCATGAGTGTACACATGGTCTTAGGAAGCAGAGAGCATAGGAGTCAGGGAGGGGCTCAGGGAAGAGCCTTCAGAGTTCTGCTTTGAGAAGTGAGCTCACCCAGTAAACCAGGAAGGCAGGCAGAGGACACAGCTGGGGCAGGAAGGCGTCAACGCTCAGCCTTTGTGGCAGGATCTGACTAAGCCATTCAGTGTGGGAAGAACACAAGGCTGGGAATGCAGTTAGGATTGGGCAGAGATGAAATAGGATCAGCAAGTCTGAAGAGCTGAGCTCAACCCTCAAGACCCATGTGCTAGGAGGAGAGAAGGGACTTCATGTTGTCTGACCCCACAGCAAGCCTGGCTGGCATTCACAGGACTGGCGCTCTCTCTCTCTCTCTCTCTCTCTCTCTCTCTCTCTCTCTCTCTCTCTCTCTCTCTCCTCTTCTCTCTCCTCTTCTCTTCTCTTCTCTTCTCTTCTCTCTCCCTTCCTCCCTTCATCCCTCCCTTTCCTCCTCTACCTCTCCCTACCCCAAAAATGTAAAAATAGAAAGTTAAGTTAATGGACCTGGAGAGACGACTCAGTGGTTAAGAGCGCTGACTCTTCTTCCAGAGGACCCAGGTTCAATTCCCAGCACCCACATGGCAATTCACAAATGCCTACAATTCCAGTTCCAGAGGTTCAGTGCCCCTCTTCTGATTTCTGAAAGCACCAGGAACCCATGTAGTACACAGATATACATGCCAGATAAAACACATGTAGCTCTAAGTTTTTTAAATGAAAAGGGTGTTTTAAAAATATAAAGCTAGAATTTACAATGACTTTTCACTATGTGGCAGGCACTATATTAAGCCGTAAAGTCCTGTACAGAGGAAAACACTTAAGAACTTTAGGAGCAATCAAAAGACTTCAGTGGGGCAGTGATGGCAGCACAACACCTTCAATCCCAGCACTCGGGGAGGCAGAGGCAGGAGGATCTCTGTGAGTTCGAGGCCAGCTGGGCTACAGAGTGAGTTCCAGGATAGCCAGAGATACACAGAGAAACCAGACTTCATATTTGGACTAAAGGAGTGTGGCATGTGGATTTTATAGGAATAATTCTCAAACCTATAATTATGGATATATTGAGGAAAATAGTGTCTTCTCCCTGCCCATATGGAGCTCAGACGTCACTAGAGCTGGCAGTTGTCACTCAGCATCCATACATGCTGGGAACTCAGCCGCGAGAAGGAAGGAGGGTGTTGGTGACACGGGGCAGCTTTAGGTACACGCGACACATCCTAGGCGCCATGAAATCACGGGATAGCACTCAAGAGTTAATGCCATTAGCATTTAGTGAGTTTCAAAGTATAGGAAAAAATCTGTTTAACAAACAAGCAATTGATGGCGAAAAAGTTATTTCTGGATTTCCTACTTAATTATATATGCAGTCGAGCCCGCTCACTGTACCTCCTGCCCATCTCCCCATCCCCACAGTCTTTTTCTTTTCTTCCTGACCCTGAATCTTTCCTACTCTCCGGCAATGGACTCCGGCTGTGCTTCTAAGCAACCGATTTCCTTTCCTTTCCCTTTCTTTCTTTCTTTCTTTCTTTCTTCCT